TAAAGATGCGAAAAAATGACCTAAAAAAATTAAAAACGTCAAAAAATGCAAAATAAAAGTTTCATAGATGGATTCGTAATTACATAATTCAAATTATATACTTACAAAGCTATATTTTACAATCACCAAAAAAAAATGCTCTTTCTTATAAATTCACAGCCCTGATTATGTCGCTTGAACAATTTTCACAAATTTATCATAAAATCTATTTATTAATCAATTTAAATCATTTATTTACATGTATAGCTTACACATTAAAAACTCAGACGACATAAATGTTGTGCATATTATTGTTGTCCCGAGTTTATAAARTTAATACATCTTATTAGCAATCGCTCGTTCTAATTTCGTTTTCAATACACCCAAATGTTCAAAAAAATCATCTGCTCTAAAATTATTCAACTGTAAAAAAAAAGAAGAGAAAACTTCATTTAAAAAACAATGCTTGTATAATTCCATAGATCAAAATATCAATATTCCCATACGTACCTATACTCGATTAAAGGATAAAACGGGGTTTGGTCATGACTGCAGGTGAATCGCCCTGTATATTTATATGACAATCAGTTTCATTGTTTTCAAAATGGACCTCTGCAAATCCGTAGACAATTATTTCGGTGTTGTTTCGATGTAGTAAGACGACATTCCGATGACATTGCTTGGAAATCGTATGACCGGTATATAAGTATCTGATATACAATAGATATATGCAATTCGATTTCGCTATACATTGATCAATTTAATACGTAGGTAGATAAATCCTGACAAAAATATCGTAAATCAAATCGTATCCGACTGAGTATGATGACTACTATATTATACAACGGTTCACTAGGTCTCAGCCAAAACGACAAAATCGTGGTCAAAGGATTTAAAAATGATCTTCATTTGATACAAATGACACAAACGTAAATTTGTAATCAAGTATCTATTTGAATATTCACCGCTATAATACAGCTGGATACTTGCACGCATAAATCAAAAATGAGGTCATCAATTTTAAATTATCCGCGCGATTTTATACAGTATAGTAGGGGTAAGAGGTAATCTTTGGAATATTTTGAATCTCTGGAATCGACACGGTAATTTTGGATGCATTATTTAAAATGTATTGTAAGCATAAACTGTAAATATCGTTATTTTTTAAAGTCAGTTTGAATATTTTTTTTATAATATCTAACGGAATTAAGACGATTTTCGGGCCAAACGCATATTAATTCATATTTAGGAATCACATAATATTATAATACTCCCTAATAATAATTATTGTTTTATAGTCAATTCAGTGTTTTACTTATTATTTATTACCAAACTAATGAATACAAATAATAACATTTTAAGTATTGTAATATTATTATATAATATTTATTAAACGATAATTAATTTTGTCTAGCGCATAGATATTTACCAAAGATTAAAGGAAAGTAACACTATATACAAGTTGATTGTACTTTTTAAAGGTATAGTTAATAGTGTGTTATTAATTTATTGTAATATTATGTTAATCAGTATAATATAATCATTATTATAATATAGTTAACTTATATTTTTATTTAATAAACAATATACGAGATAAGTAAGTTATCAATCGCTTTTTAAAATTATTATTACTATTAAAATGTAGTTTATAGGTATTGGTATTCATAAACCTTAGAATAGTTACCAAAAAGCAATACCTAAATTACACTCTTTGTAACTGTATATATATATTATAAATAATAATAGTATTATATCTAAATTTAATGTGAATGTTATTAAATTATTTGAAGAATTCATCTCGCACAGCGAAATAATAATTTATTTTAATTTAAGGTATTCGCCATTATAAGGTTAATTTATTAATTAGGTATAATTGAAATCTTTCACCTATTTGTAACATAAAAAGTAGACGATAATATTGTTAAATGCTGATCGTGTAAAAATGATCGATATTATATCCATATTTATACGTAATATTTATACCATTTAAGCAAATATATCCTTTTGTTGTTTTGAAAATTGTATGGAAAAAATGCGGAAACCACTTTATAAAGTTTGTATAATGTGTTTTAATTATTTTATCCGAACAGCGTTATTATTATTATTTATTATTTTTATTAATATTATGTGAATGGCGTTAAATACATTTCAATAACATTGTACTTCTTATATTACTCACCAGAGCTACACATAATGCTATTTTATGATTTATCGATTATCCAACATGTTTCAAGTATCCCCCCTCCTTCGCATTTATAAGTTCAATTCATTTTTAGAATTTTTAAGATCAATATTACAACCGTATACATTTAATTTATGTTAAACATATTATTTGAATTTTATTATAATGTTATAAAATGTATGTAATAAAAATATTTGATTCATATTGAACTCGAGTTTTGTTTTATACCAAAGTAACATTATTTATAATATTATTTAGTCATATTTGATAGTAAGATTTTTTGAAAAACCTTTATTACCATGATTGTTTAATTTAATGTGCGTTGTTTAGACAATATAAATTATCAAAAACAAATAAATACGTCACTCAAACAATATTATTATTATATTATGTACATAATGTTTATACTACTCGGGTATTATATTGTTATGTAACAATAAAATGTATAAAATATTTAGAACACAATTTATAATTAAATAATATTCTTATGATGATTCAATACTAGGTATATTTTCAGAGCTTGGCATAATTTCAAATTTTGGATTCATTATTTATTTTGATAAATTCGAGATAAATATTTAATAAGGATTTTTAAAATCGTATAATTGACTAAGAGTTTTGATTTAGATTTGTCAAGTCATCCTTGTAACGATTTTGATTTTCCAGTATCACGATGTTTTCCATGCTATAGATATGTTTCATGTACCCCATGTTATAATCAAAATATTTCTTGTGGCATATTTTGAATTTTTAGCAGATTTTCGGAACATTTTAACATTTTTTTTTAAAAATGTATCAACATTTTAGTAATTTTCGCATGTACTACATAATAATATAAATCATTTTTGTCGATTGTTTAAATTTAAAAGTATTAAAGAAACTATCATTGTATAGGTTGTAATAAATAATAAATTGCATTGCAATTATGCAATGTATATAATTTGTCAAATTAAATTAAATGTTATACTTATTTTTCATATTTATAAACGTATACCTGCACTATTTTTTTTTTAGATTTTAAACGTATTTTTTGAAAGGGAAATTTCTTTTGCATTTTTAGGTCATTTAAATCAAAACTAGCCACTAATAACATACGGCTATGATATAACCCTGCAGCTACTTATTAATAATATAAAGTGCGAGTACAACGACATAACTGCATGCAGCAATCAGTTATTAATGATAGCGTTTGTTGAAAAATGTTGCTGTGGATATTCTCTTAATTTTGTGAAATATGGCTAATAGTAAAACAGTTGGTACACATAGTGTTGTTAAGTATAAAAATGTCAAAATATACAAAAAAAACCGATCGCCCAACGAATATGACTATACAAAAATACAGAAAATATATAATTATGCGGTTCCTGACATCGTACTAATAAGTCGTGCAGCACTGATAACTAGAGCCCGGATTTGTATGTTTTTGCATATTTTTTCTTTTTCACTTTTTAATATTTTTGTTTATAATCTTCACGAATCAAAGTGTAATTAGAATTCACTGCAAAATTTTTATTTTGCATATTTTTGCATATTTTATCGTAAATGCATATTTATTGCATATTATTTCAATGAATGTGTTGTCGCGAAAAAAATTTGATCGGTAGGTTTTTTATTTATAGCTATATGATATAAACATTTGAAATAGTTGAGGTAATCACATCGTTATCATCGAAAACTTATCGATGAATAATACGTTTAATTTAATTTATGGAAAATATACCTTTACCTACTGCCGCGGTAATATCAAAGTGGGGAACATGGATAGCAACTGCGTAGGAATATTTTATAAAATACCAAAAGATAATTGAAAAGCTCGCAGAAGACGACGGACTGTGACAAATTCTCGGAAACCTATTAAAATTGCAACAAACACTTGACGAGGAAAATTATTTCCCTAACATTGGTCTAGCAAAACTTCTGTAAAAACAAAAACATATTTATATATACATGTATACTATAGCTAAACTCGTGCACTTCGTAGCCCGTTAAAAATCCTACCTCTTGTATGTCTCAAATTCGATGTTAAATTCTTTACCTGTATTGACATTTTCTTGAGGCGTAGAACTACCGATCGATCTTTTTTTTTTATAGACATAACTCATAGAAATGGCGTTATTATAACAAAAATATCAATAAAAATTGTAATTCCATCGGTGCACATAATATACCGCGGAAACAAATAATAACAAATTCAGGGATAACAATTTCTTTTGCATAATAATGATTATTATTGAAACTAAAAGCAACCATTTAAAAACAGAAATTTCCATCGTAAATCTCAAAATGTCTGTTTAAGGGAATTTCATCAGATCATAGTATSGTTATGTATTATGCCGTTATATTGTACAAATTTGTAGGTATTTTAATTTTTTAAATACTGCAATATACGTTTGGCCATGTGTTTAACGTCGATGATCAAAATCCTACTACCGTTGTCATTTCCCGACAAGGCGTCGACTGCTGTTGAGGATAAAATATTATAGTCTAATATGACATTTGACATTTTGTTTTTTATCATATGCATACAGCGCGATTGCCGTGATTCGCCAAACATATAATAAACTCACTCCGATTTGAATGATTTGAAAATTAAAACTATCCTTATTTGTATTGATTCAAATTTTGATATTTTATTATAATCAAATGAAAACAGTTTTTTTAATAATTGTAAGCTGCTTTATAGTTCACTACGTTCACTGAGGATAATATATTGGTTTGTGAAAATTGTAGGTATGAAATATATATATATGATGGGGACAAAATTGAAATAAAACAGTTTGTATCATACCAGGACTGTTGCTGGTATGGTATATAAAATCTAATAGTGTTAAAAAATACAGTGATTAATTATGACTAGGACCCGGAATTGTATGCATTTGCACATTTTTAATTATTGAATTAAAATGTAGCTAGGTAAGACACAATTTTGAATCTTAACCTGATTAGTTGGTATGCAAAATTAAGTGATGCATAGTTTTGCATATTTAGAACATTTTTAATTTTTAAACATATCTTAGCAATTTATTAAAATACAATACATATTTATGAAAAAATAGTATCAAGTTATTAAAACTAATACGTAACGTTATGTCCTATATGTAAAATCTACCTGCAATGTGAAAAGAAAAAACTCTGCTAAGAATCGACGTGCATTTTTATTTGAAAATTTATTCAAGTATTTAGTAGTTGACTGTATAACACTCCTGGTAACTTTGAAATATTTTATTATAAAAATCTATTAAATTTTTTTAAATTGATTTTTGTTTATGAGTTTTTATTTAGATGAGTGAATGTTCAAAACGCAACATATGTATACAATTGAATACATCATACAAAATGTAATTAAATTATATCAACTAGCCATTTAATACATTTTTTTTGTTCCATATTATAATTATTTAATGGATTATATACATACTTATACTAAATAAATTTAATTAGAATGCATTTTTGTATTGATGCATATTTTAAGTGTATATCTGAATGAAAATCATTCCATATAATATGCATGTATATTTCGTTCATTTTTAGTGCATTATAATATTCCGGGCCCTAATTATGACGGTATATCTGAAAATAGAATTCAAACGAATGAGTTTCATCAAAATATATGATGAAATGGAGGTGACCGTGATTGGTGAAGCACTCTGTATATCATACTGCAGTGGATCGAGCCCTGTAAAAGTGTGATGCATAATAATAATTGTATGCATTGCCAATTATCGTGTTTTCTACTGCTGCGGGCGCGATCGACACCCACAACTGGTCAGGCTAAAAACCCATGATGATCATAGTATGCCGTTCAGTGAGTGTGTGTTTGAGCCCAAAGCGGCACTATTATAATATTATTTCAATAACGTTCTCGATCCGCGTTCAAATATTACAATATTTTAAATAATCATGTCGTCGTCGTAGCCGTACATATTTTGTTGCATTCTCTGTTGCTGCGTCGCGATCGCAGCATATAGAACAATAATATTATTATGACGTCATCGTCGACGGCAATCGTCGTAGTCGCTGCAGCTCTCCTTTCGTTTTCAGGTTCGCTTCCGTGTATTAGTAGTCCGAAAAATGTAAATCGTCTTACACAAATCGATACTATTATTATTATTATTATTACTATACGTCGTCCACTCTGAAATCCATAAAATGTCAAGTAATAATTGTTTATAGTACACGTCATATACTGCAGTGCTCGGACGTTTTTGAAAGTCAAACTAGATCAAATATGTACATAAATGTAATAAATTAAAAAAAAAACAACAAATTATTCACAATCCATATTCTAAATGATTTACTAGCTATATAATAAAGTATACCATAATAAAAACGTATTTTTTTAAAGTATTCTCCAGGGCAGGTCAATAGGTCATCAGCATTCGAAACCATCTTCTGCAGCACTTACAAGACGTTCAAAATATGAAGCTGTCTAAACGCTTTGGATACTTTTGAACTAAATATAGTTAGGTACCAAGTAATTGCGTATAACCAGCTGCCTAGCATAATTTAGTGTTTTATGAAAACCGTTTAAACGACGTTCCGACCGAAATTAAATTTTTTTTTGACGGAAATCCTATTCGAGTGAGACAYTTTACGACGGCCCGTGACGACGATTTGACAATCGATATTTTATAATATATTTGACCTGTTAAAATACTTCTTCACACAAATCGTTTGCAGGCGGCGCCGTGGACGCCGTGGCCAAGCAGTGGACGCCCAACGTAGACTTTGAGGCACCCCGCAACTGGGACGCGGGACACGTCCCCACGCCCGTGGACGTGGCCGCATTCCAGAAGGACACTTTGGTCCCGGTGGTGGTACCGACCACGGGTGTAGACGTGTGCGAGGTCGTGTTGCCGTTCAACGGTCAGCTGATCTTGGAGCCCAATTCCCGCGTTGTCATTTCCTCGTCGTCCCAAGCGATGGGTGGTTGCACGGGACAGAGTGAGTATAATCTCATAATAAATTATGTGCAGTGGTTCTCAAAATTTTGATCTCACGGATACCGAGTTGTACGTTGCGGAACAGYCATCCCAATAACACTTATACATTATACCAAACGATGAATCGTTAACATTATTATGGTCGACGTTTTTTAATTAATATAATATATATTGATTTCTTTCCTGCACCAACGCCGATTTCGGCTTCCCACGTATGAACTTCGAAGTTGAGTCAACATTATCAATATTATGTTAAGCTGTAGATTAATATGATTAGCAAAAAATAAATTTAACTCGAAATGCTCTACTTACTGAACTCAACCTTTAAGTTAGTTGTTTTATTACCACACCTGGGCCACGTYCATAGTGATTATTTATGTTTGTTTTGTTTATTTTGTTTATAGTGAATATTTTTACCTATAACGTATACTATTCCTTTTTATTGCACAAACTATAGCTAACACGAYCTGTAGTAGTTTCAAAAACAATTGCTCGTTTGTGTCAACTAAGTTATTAAAAAATAACTATTAATTTGTTTATTTTTATTTCAAATGATTGTGTACTCTGTACATTTAATGGCATGATTTAACAAATAAAAATAATTAATCAGTTCATTTTAACTGCAATTATATCTATACGTATCGACATGATTTAAACTAATTAAATTATTTTTTAATAATAAAAAAAATTAAATTGTACAGCGAAGACTTTAAAAATAGTCATATTGTTTAGTTAAGACCAATCTACTATGCCTAATACCTTAGTGGCGGAGTACGCAGATGACAAAGCAATAATATCAACAAGCGCATACCCTAGCTGTTTCAGCTTCCACTTATCTTCAAAATCATCTATCTCAAATGGAGGATTAGTACAGGAAATGGTGGCTTAAAGTCAAYCAAACCAAATCACTTCATACAACATTCACCCTTAAATAACCCCAATATCCGGCTGTAACTCTCTATGATATCCAAATTCCCTCAAACTCTACGGTTAAATATCTCGGACTCACACTAGATAGCCGTCTCACTTGGGCACACCATATTAAAACTAAACGGTTGCAGCTGAATTCCCGGCTACGCATGCTTAAAACACTCCTCGTTAATAATAAACACACAAACTTAAACACTAAACTACTAATGTACAAATCCCTAGTCAAACCTATATGGACCACGGTATACAACTATGGGGCAAGTCCAAAATMTCAAATCTCAAAAATATCCAAACGTTTCAAAATATTATTCTAAGAAAAATTACAAACTATCCACCATAMATATCAAATCAMACCCGTCTAAAAACCGTGCAAGAAGAAGCAAAAMACTTCTATAAGCGTTTTCATGATCGTCTAATAGCCCACACAAATCCATTGATTTRTGAATTAGCATCAAACGAAATTCCTGAAGGATTACCATGGTAATCCTCACCGACGAAAATGGTGCAGAGACATTCTAAACGACTACAAAACGTTAGTTAAAAAAGAAGTTTGAAAAAAATTTTTTTTTTTAAAGTCAATAGGAAGTGATCACTACTAGGTGGCTTCTTCCAACAACTCATTCATGTCATAAATTAGCCCATATTTTTATTGTGCCGCAGGGTACAGATTGTATATTTCATATAAAAATAAAAATATTGTTTAGTTTTATTAAACTATTAAACTACGAATAGGTACTTAAATCAGTTTTATTGCGTATTTAATTAGTAAACTAATTGAATATTTAAGTTAAAAAATTGATTTTGAATTTTTGAACAACCTAGTTGTTTTCGATACTAACCTTTACATAATATGTTATGAATTTAACTCTTTTGTTTTGAAATTTAGATATATTTTAGTTATAATAAAATATAAATTATACCAAATAAATTGCATTTAGTTATAAATTATTATATAAATAAATTGTAAATTATAACTACAGTAGAACGTGGATTTATATGCATATATTCATTTATTCTGGTTGATATAGTATGATATGTTTATAGTGAGCATAAAACGATTTGAAAAATGAAACTTTTTACTGAATATTCTAATATTAATTTGTCAATTTTTTTATATTTTAAAGGCTTATTTTATCATTTTAATTGCATATTTTATTTTTTAATGCATATTTCGATGTTTATTTTTAAAAAAATTTAAAAAATATTCTATATTAATGTAAGAAAAAAATATTACATTTTTATAGTTTCGATTAATATCAGAATAAATTATTAGTCATATACGTGTWGCCGTTGTAGGTATAAACTACTATAAACGGTTTTCACAAAGACCTTTAATATTTGATCAATAATTGATGAAATAAAATAGGTACGTATACCAAGATAAGAAAATATCTTCTACTATTTTATTTTTCATACATATTTCAAGGTTATATTATATTATAATGGTGCATATTTAAGAATTTTTAGCACATATTTGGTTGGTTTTCAATGTATATATATTTGCGCTCTAGTTACAAATTATAATGCTACATTGCAGGATACTACTCAATACTTATTTGAAAAGTTGAAAATATGGCCATTCGGCTTTCAGTATATAGGTTATATAGGTATTATACTTATTTAAAATTTCCAAGATTCAAAATTTTAACAAACGCATTATTATTTATTAAAAGGTTAAATAATTTTATCAAAAGGTAAAAAAAAAGAAAAGACATGCTTAGCGAATCACCCGGTATATAATGAGTGAGAAATAATATACTGTTACTGTTATAATAATATATTACATAAAAGTTTAAACTTTGTGTTGTAGTAATAATTTATTTTGACCGTAAAGTTTAAAATCAACATTCATAAATTTAGTTTATACTTAATAATTATTCATGTATTCCGTTTTATCCGATTAATTTTTACATAATAAAATGTGGTGTTCATGTGTCATATAAACTTGTTTATCGTTTATGTATATTGTCATTAAAACATATGAGTAATGGCAAATGACAGAAAACACTAATGTTCTAAAATAAATAATAAATAACCTAAAAAATGTATATTTATAATCTAGAAGTCTCCTATTGTAGATAAAGATTAATTAATAGTCGTTAAAAAAAATGTAAATAATCGTTTATAGTATAAACTTTATACGTTGAATTCAGAACATTATATATCTTAATAAAAATAAATTAAATGTGTATCTGCTGCTGCTGATAATGTATTATTATCACATTAGTTTGATAAAATACGTCACGTAATTTTATGTTTAGACATAATAATATAAACAAAAATTTGCAGTAATTAACACAATATTTGTTTGCATTCATGAGCACAATTTACAAGTGCAATAATAATAAGAAAAGGTTGGTCTTCGAATAAAAAAATATCAAATAATTATTATTAGAATCGACATTCGAGAAAAATAAACAAAAATTATGAGGCCAATYATCACGGTTATACCATATGTTTTATATAAATATATTTTTAAATAAAAACGTATAATTATTAAATTACGAACAATAAGCTTAAACGAGATTATTTGAAGAAAAAAAATATGCACCATTAAATAAAATAATATGCAATGTTCTCAAATTTCAAATGTACATAAACATTTTGTGAAATTTGTTTGGTAGTGCACAATAAGTTTATAGTAGTGATAAAAATGTTGACGGAATTTATGAGTTCTTTGCAAAGTAATAATAATAATAAATAGACAATAACAGRAAAAGTAAAATTTGAAATTGAATTCATTGTTGTAGAGAAAACGGTTAAGATCCAATATTTCCATTAATGAATAATTTATGGGTTTTCATGGATTCACATTTTATAACTACGCTGTTTTGAATATGATAACAATAATAATACTTATTTGAATAATGTAATATATTATTATCGTCATTGTTGAATGTGACCAGAGTTCCAATTTTCAAGCAGGTGTCCTGCTAAATAATGTGATCAAATCGGAACCGTAAAATCAAACGACTTTCACTAAGCGTCAAGCTCATGTCCCGAACAAATCGTATTTTTACATGATGTTTAAAAAMATGTATAGATTAAGGCACTAACATTATCTAGTTATTACCKAAGTATCTTAATATTATTATTATTATTTATTATTATCATGTAATCAGAATATATATTTTTATTGTATGTCCTGCACTTTGACCCAATCACAGGATTTTTATTTAGTCTCTTTGTTATTATTACATTTCAGCTGTGACGTTTAAGCAAAATGCCCCAATGGAATGGGTTGATCCGGACAACTGGTCAATTGAGAATTTTAACATAGCAACGCCACACGTGGAACGAATACCGTGCGTGCACGATACCGTTGTGTTCAACCCCGGTCATTCGTTTTCAGTCATTGTGCCCGACGATCCGATCACAATCGGATCAATGAAGTACGGAAACCAAGTGAGTTCAATTCGACTACAGCAGTTAATCGTCGTTTAAAAGGACATAATATTTAATACTGACAATCGTTATTCGTACGATATTGCAACATTATTTAGATATAATAATACATGAGTAGCAGTAGTAGCACACAATTTATCATATCGGGTGTGTAGGGATAACCAACATTATTAGTATAAACGCATAGTCTGTGAAGTGGCTAAAAATGAAATTAAAAAAAATTATTCTCCCATCTACCAAGTAATATGATTTTTTTCTCGCACAAAAATACAATCCTTGACATAATATTTAACAAAAATCCTGCAGACCCAATGGTGCAATATCACGGGATCTTATATTAAAAGAAAGCCTAATTTCTTATATAATATTTAAGACGTTTTAACGATGGACACTTTTTCGCTGTCGTGTAACCAGTTGTTTATGGTAATTATTATRATATGTACCTAAGTAAAATTTTATTGATACACCCAAAGTCCCMAATTGATATTATTTTTTGCGGCTCATTATTACACGTAAAAAGTTATGATCTAATTTATTATAATTATAATATATGCATATAACATCCATATTCTACTGCGTGTCTGCGTATATATATAGGTATATAATATATAGCTTTGAATACGTTATTGCAACATCGCGAGATTTTCGGAAGTATATTAATATATTCATAAAATGTATATCGTATCTTTTCGCGGTACTCAACTATACAGGCTCACCATAAAATGGGCGAGCAGTACTTATAACAGTACCTTATTCGTGTTATTTATTCGCGTTATACAACTCGCGCACAATTCGTCGTTATAATTTAAACTATTTATGTCTAATACAAYGCATAAGTATAAAAATATGATACAAAATATTGTGTTTGTTTTGAAATAATTTTGATTTTTAACAGCGATAATGTGGTGAATCTGTATTCTGTACACACATAATATTATATTAGATTGGTACACATACTATATACGAATATATATATAATATATTATATTATTATCATATTAATATAATATTATTGCAGACGTTCAGTCAAAACGAATTGAACGAATTTCTTTTGTCGGACGTCGGCGATCAGGAACTGAAGRGTTCTTCCACCGACAACGATGTATCCATTACTCTGACTTCGACTTCCTGCGAAGACAACACAGGATGTGAATGCGGTACCCAACAACTTTTCGACCAAGTATGCAAAGTGGCCTCAAAACGCTGTGATAGTAAATTGGGCTGCATAAGTCCAGTGAAACCGATTGGCCATTGTTGTTGGACTTGTGGTGAGATTTTTAATAAACAATACAATATGATTGTCATACTTTGTAYAGTGATACAATTATTTATTCGATTTGAATTAGTTGTGAATTTAATTTGAMCGTAATATATTATTATTGCCTATTGCATGTATTATAATATATTATTATTATTATTAGGTACATTATATATTTATATTATAAGGTTTGTACACAACACAATTGTTTTAAAAGTAAACGCTTTAAAAAGTATTAATTTGTATGAATTAATATTTGTTTTAGTATCAAAAATGTAATAACAATAAAATATTAAAATTAAAATTAGAAAAAGAATAATATATATTTTTTCATTTTTTTTTTGTACTAACTTCATATTTACACTWTATGTAAAAAAAAGATATTTCAATATATTTAATACTCTTTGAGAAAATAATTGTATACCTACCTTTAAAATATAATTGCCGTGATATACAGGTTGATTCTTTTAAGTGAGTGCACTAATTATCTCGAAAAG